CTCTCAGCCAAGGAAAGTAAACACCTCCTGTATACAAGACTCCTGGACAATGGCACACTCTGCCTTTTCCTGGGACTCGTACACCTACCAGTGATTCTTCCCTTGCCTGGTAATATGGAAACAAATCCTGGTCCACCACCCATAGATACAACTAGCCTGGATATCACTCAGCTTGCTCAACCTACCGGCGCAGCTTACCTAGCTACCACGGCTAAGGCTGCAACAACATGGTCCGTGGCTTTCCTGGCTACAACAAAAAGCACTGTTACCATAGCCTGCAGCAGGCCCACCAGCGGGTCCACAACTACAGCTTGATGCCCAGCAGCTGGACACACACACCGATCAGGAATACTTAACAGTAGCGCAGAAACGGTCTAACCAGCACAAGATACAAGAAAAGCCGCAGAGACTCTCTTTGGTGAGTGTCCCATGACATCACCATCACAGGGTATGAAATGTAGCACTAAATACAAACAAATCACTAAAACCACAAACCCAGTCTTTAAAAAAACATTATTTACAAAAAAAAACATTATTTTTTATTTATCGGGGAAAGATTATCTGGGATCCACGTAATAAATGAAAAGAGATACTTGGTGGACATTTAAATATTTGAAGCATGATCTCCAAATGTGAACAATTAGTGCATTTATTAATCCATTCAAATATTTCTTTCTAGGGTTGACAGAGACGTGGTTAAAGGAGACCTATTATGCTTTTCCACATTTTATGACTTATAATGTTATAATGTTGATGTTCATGTTAAACATGGCCAAAGCTTCAAAAAATGAGGTATTTATAAGAAATCACTGAGTAAAAACCTCACATTTCCTCCTGTTCTGAACGCTCTGTTTTGAACTGCTTTTTCTACCAAAGGCTCCGTTCTACGTTCTACAGAGCCAGACTGCAACGGCTCGGTCTGCCTGCTCTGCCCAGCAACAACAACAGCCTGGTAACAGGCTTCATGTCTTGGCCAATCAGAAGATTGTGTGCTTTGAGAGGGGGGGCCTTACAGAGACAGGAGCATTTGCAGCTTGTTTCACACAGAGGCTGAAATGAAGGGCTACATGAGTATACGAAAATAAAATGTTGAATGTGTTGGAACAGACGTATACTCTCTACAGAAATTACCTTCACTGTCATTTGTATATATCGAAAATCATCAGTTAAAACAGATTTTTATAGAAACCCTTGTCAATCTCGGTAACTTGAAGAAAGCTATAATATTGCTGGGTGATTTTAATATTAACTGGGACAAAAAGAAATAAGAAATAGCTCATCATTTTAATCTGGTCCAATTAATTGAAATACCAACCTGAGTAACTAACCATTCCAAAACAACACTAGATTTACTGTTTACAAACAAACTGGAAAGAATTATCGAAACCTACAAACTCTTACATTAAAAAAATATTCTGTTCAAGAAATATCACAACTATTCACCCCTCGTGTAAATGTATGTTATCCGGTAACTACACTCAGCCTTTCAATTTAATAGTCCATTCTTCCATCGTCTTGGAAGATGGCCACGATTACACCAATTATTTAATCAGGGAATAAAGGAGTTTTAGATAATTTTTTTTTATTCAGGGAACTTCACTGAGAGCAACCTCTGATCAACTTCACACCTGGAAGCTGCTCACTACAAATGCACCCTGGTCTGCTGGGCACTGAGCAGACCCACTGGAGCGTTTGGGGTTATGGGCCTTTCTCAAGAGCAAATGAGGGAGGGCTCGCACTCCAAAATTCCAGATTTTATCCTGCCGTTCAGGGGATTGAACTGGCGACCTCCTGATCACGAGCTCGCTTCTCTAACCATTTGGTCTGTAGTTACAGGCAATGGTGGCCATTAACCATAACTACAGACCAATCAGCATTCCTCCAGTCATATCTAAAATGATTGAAAATGGATAGCAAAACAACTACTATATCATCTGAATAAATGCTCTGGATCCCATACAGTTTGGCTTTTAATGACCACCATTCAACTGAAACAATCAATATTTTATATAAAAAAGGTCAGGCATTCATTAGATAGTCATGCTGTTGTTGGTGGTGTTTTTCTGGATCTGAAAAAGGGCATTTGATACCATCGACCATTAAATACTCCTGTTCAAATTAACAAACTTCAACTTCTCCAAACAAGCTATAAAAAAAATCAAAAACCGTGTAGTTCAATCTTCATCATCATCATTTCCAGAAAATGCCACCAGAATGTTTCTTCATTCAATTATCTTTTCTCGTAGTGAATACTGTTTTACAAACTGGTCATTTACAAATGCCACAACACTCAAACCAATAGTCACTTTTTAAAAGAGCCATACAAATCTTCAATAGAAAACCAATTTCTCTTCTTTACTGCCTCATCCTTTAGAAACATAACCTTAAGTTTTTTTTTAAAGAAAATTTTACTAGTTTAAATTTGCCTGCTCTCTATAGGCTATAAGCACAGACAATTTAGAGGAGACACGCCACTCAATAACATTCTAAGTAAAACTCTATGTGGAAGGTCTGTTTTACTTCTATTGCACACGCGCGGAAGTGGTGAAGCAGGCGTAGTAGATGTAGATAGAAGCGGTCGGGAAAAGCGCATTTTAAACCTTATTTTGGGACAATGTTGTCAAACTTTTTCAGCGATTTTTTCTTTCTTTCTGATTTTAATGCTGATTCTATTCGTGTAGTTTTATGACCCGGTGACCAGTGAAAGTGCAGTTCTGGCTCTCTCCCCATTCTAACGCCAAGCAGTTGCTAATGTTATCCATTGCAAAATACTTGTAACATTATGGCTTGCCACATTACTTCACCAGCTAACACGATCCATATTACGATCCTGTGTACCACCGGTATTATGTGTACCGTATTAACGGTATTATGTGTACCGTATTAACGGTATTATGTGAAAGTGTTGATTTTAGCCTGCAAGAAATGATGTAAATGATTTTTGCAAAAGCGCACCTGGATGTTCCTCAGCACTACTTGCAAAATATTCTGTGGACAGAGGAAACCAAAGTTGAGTTGTTTGGAAGGAACACAACCCTGTGTGTGGAGGGGAAAAGGCACAGCACTCCTACATCAAAACCTCATCCTGACTGTGAAGTGTGTCCATCAAATGAAGTGCAACAGAAGGTGGGTGGTGCAACAGGACAACGACTCAAAGCACAGAAATAAATCAACAACAGAATGGTTTCAGCAGAAAAAAATTCACCTTCTAGAGTGGCCCAGTCAGAGTCCTGACCTCTACTCGCTTGAGATGCTGTGGTATAACTTCTAGAGAGAGAGTCACACCAGACAGCCCAAGAATATTACTGAACTAAAAACGGTTTTGTAAAGAGGGATGGTCCGAAATTCCTCTTGACCGTTGTTCAGGTCTGATCCGCAAATACAGGCAATGTTTGTTTGAGGTTATTGCTGCCAAAGATGGGTGAACCAGTTATTAAATCTAAGGGTTCACATACTTTTTCCACCCTGCACTGTGAATGTTTACACAGTGTGTTCAGGAAGGCAAGGCAAGTTTATTTGTACAGCACATTTCAACAACAAGCCAATTCAAAGTGCTTTACAGTAGGGTTGGGCTGATAAAAGATGCCATCGTCCATCGGCTGACACCACGACCCTGAGCTGGCATCGTGATTGTAATGACCACGAACGTTGTTATTATTGTTTTAAAGTATACTTTGCACCTGGCTCAGAATTCAACCCCCCAACCCTACTTTACATCAAACATAAATGCAACATAGGGACATTGGAAAAAAAAAAAATACACATTAAAATATAATTTTTGAAAGGGTGATGTAGAAAAACAGTTAAATAGGAAATAAAAACAGAGTAAAACAGGACAGTAAAAGTCACAGTGCAGTGTACAATATTAATCTACAGCCTTACATTTGATTTAATTAAAAGCAATAGTAAAAAAAGTCTTCAGTCTTAATTTAAAAGAACAGAGTTTCAGCAGACCTGCAGTTTTCTGGGAGTTTGTTCCAGATATGTGGAGCATAAAAACTGAACACTGCTCCTCCATGTTTAGTTTTGACTCTGGAGACACAAGAAAAACATGAAAACATGTAATTATTTATGTGGTATTAGTTTAAACAGACTGTTGAAGATGATGAAGATCAGATCACATTTTATGACCAATGTATGCAGAGATCAGACCACAACCATTTCTAGGGTTTACAAAGAATGGTGTGAAAAGGGAAAAACATCCAGTATGCGGCAGTCCTGTGGGCGAAAATGCCTCGTTGATGCTAGAGGTCAGAGGAGAATGGGCCGACTGATTCAAGCTGATAGAAGAGCAACTTTGACTGAAATAACCACTCGTTACAACCGAGGTATGCAGCAAAGCATTTGTGAAGCCACAACACACACAACCTTGAGGCGGATGGGCTACAACAGCAGAAGACCCCACCGGGTACCACTCATCTCCACTACAAATAGGAAAAAGAGGCTACAATTTGCAAGAGCTCACCAAAATTGGACAGTTGAAGACTGGAAAAATGTTGCCTGGTCTGATGAGTCTCGATTTCTGTTGAGACATTCAGATGGTAGAGTCAGAATTTGGCGTAAACAGAATGAGAACATGGATCCATCATGCCTTGTTACCACTGTGCAGGCTGCTGGTGGTGGTGTAATGGTGTGGGGGATGTTTTCTTGGCACACTTTAGGCCCCTTAGTGCCAATTGGGCATGGTTTAAATGCCACGGCCTACCTGAGCATTGTTTCTGACCATGTCCATCCCTTTATGGCCACCATGTACCCATCCTCTGATGGCTACTTCCAGCAGGATAATGCACCATGTCACAAAGCTCCAATCATTTCAAATTGGTTTCTTGAACATGACAATGAGTTCACTGTACTAAAATGGCCCCCACAGTCACCAGATCTCAACCCAATAGAGCATCTTTGGGATGTGGTGGAACGGGAGCTTGGTGCCCTGGATGTGCATCCCACAAATCTCCATCAACTGCAAGATGCTATCCATCAATATGGGCCAACATTTCTAAAGAATGCTTTCAGCACCTTGTTGAATCAATGCCACGTAGAATTAAGGCAGTTCTGAAGGCGAAAGGGGGTCAAACACAGTATTAGTATGGTGTTCCTAATAATCCTTTAGGTGAGTGTATATGTGTACTGTTATTTTTCTTTTTTTCACCTCTGTGTCTTTAGTATCCTCTCTCGTGCCATGATGAAGACCTGTATTTATAAGATGAAATGTGATGAATAGTGTGATGTTATGGAGCTGGCTGGCAGATTCAATTTCAAACATACTGTAATTCTATTCGTTTCATTTAACACAATAGACATTTCAAAATGATGATCACAAAATAGCATGCCTAGACTGGATTTCTGCAGTGATGTTTGACTCTCCTTTCTCATTTCTCTCTCTCAGTGCTCTGTGTGTGGATAGAAGGCAATTAGAATACAGGAAGATACATCATCATAATGTCAGGGGTCATTATGATTCAGTAACTTTGATTTAACACTTGCAGTAACACAAGCAGGACAGCTTTTTACATTTATTGAAACACACATCGATATTGTCAACACACCTTACAGAAGTTGTCTGTCACCAAATAGTCAATTTTCTCCCTCCCTTATTAATTATTAGTTGTTTATTTTTGTTGATTGAGTGGTTTGTCAGTCAGTTTTATTCTACTGCTGTTTCTGAAATATTGTACTGCTTAATGCTCACATAAGACAAGGAGAACACGGGTCACTTGTGGTTGTCCACAGGGAACACTGGTCACATTCATGCATGAACACATGACAACTGAAAAAAATTGAAATGTGACCTCTTTGTGAAAAATGACCTGGGTGAAATCCAAAAAAGGGTACTACTAATTATCAGGGGCATTAGTTGCCCTCTCATTTTTTATTTCACCGGCATTTTATGGACTTTCAAGGGCGGATTCAATCACCCAAACCACCTTCATAGTGGGTTAGGGACACATTTGGCTACATTAACAACAACGTGTAAATGCAACACTCCTATTCAAATTCATATATACTGCAATAACTACACAATTCATAAAAACTTGTTTGTAAAAATACATCCAAATATTCAGCCTAAATTAACAAGCGAGCATTCAACAGAGAAGAGTGCCATTTGCATTGTTTAAAAGGACCCTGATATACCAATATCTGCCTGAATGATGATTATCATTAATTATTTGCTGAACTGGGTTCTATATTCAGTCTTTTATTTATGATGTTTGGAAAGAGATCAATTAAATGACTTTGCTTTTTAACTTTGCCTTTTACCCAAACTTAGTTAAGAGCAGATTTAAGTCGGCAGAGCGCAACTGGTAGAATTTTTTTGTCAGGGTTGTGTCCAGTACTCAAAAGCAGACCTGAACCAGAAATAAAGCACAATTTTTTATTAATAAACAACACTTATTTTATTATTAAATAATAATAATAAATGCATTCTCATCTCAATGCGTCATAACTGACGCTTTCAGGCTGCGTGACAAAGCATAAGGATTTTACGCTAAAGGTATCCTTCAGCGTCCGTATGAAACGCCCGCATTTGCTACATTGCAACAACACAAGGGAGGCTAACCCTACCTGTTCAGGACCTGCCTGCACCTGTAGGGTTAGCCGGTCGACATGAATAAAGTCAGTGGCTTAGGTTTAGGTACTAACATTTCTGATGGTTATGGTAAGGGAAGGGGCTTCGGGGGGATGTCAACACCTTTTATCAAGAACATAGCTAGCTAGCGCTAGGTAACTAGCCCTACCGGTAAGGGTAAGGGTGTAGGGGGGCTGTCAACACCTTTATCACAAACGTAGCTAATAACTAGCACTTCCGGTCTGTACAGGACACCCCAGACCATCTCATAGAGACGCTTCTAAATAACTACGTTTGAGAACGGGCTCGATTGTCAGGACTGAAGGCTGGGGAGTGGGGCTGGGTGAGGATTGAATCCATGTTCCAGACATTGCGAGTGACATGGAGCTGGCTTGCGAGAGGAGCTGGTGTTTCAGGAAGTATTCTGTGAATTCAATGGCTGGCTGACAAAGCAGAGTGTTCCAGGGTTCTGAGCATGTGGTGTGGTGGTTTGTTCCTGGAGACAGGGAAATCTGATTAGTGAGAGACATTTTTCACATAAGACAAAGTGACATGTCACAGTACGAAAAGCATATATGTAAATAATAAAATGTATGATGACTTAATTCCATTTAGCTGCTTCGGTTTCAGGGCCCTGCTCTTCTGCATGCTCACTGTTATACTGCCATGGCTTAATTTGAATACAAGCCATTTTTAATGTTATTAGTAACACTATTATCTGACGCATTATGATTACTGCTGTCTCTGAAATCACTTCCTATTTACTAAATAGTGCATTACATTTACTGTTCACCGTGTTATTTGACAGTGTTGGGCAAGTTACTTCCAAAATGTAATACATTATAGATTACTAGTTACTGTCATTTGAGAGAAACATAACAATATTACTGTCGCTGAATTGTAATGCTTTACAAAACTTACTATTATTCTGATAGTAAGATGTTCTGCATTGGTGGCTTCTAGTGATGTGCAGAGTTATATCTGCAGATCGTGTGGGTCCATGTTATAAGTGTAATAAGATCCCGACACTCCAACAGGATCGGTCAGGATGAACTGACAGCAGTAATTCGTTAAAACACACAGCCTATAGAAATCTATTTACGTACGATCCATCAGGGGAGCTACCGTCTTGTTAAGAGTTTTCACCCTGGCCCTTGTTTTTCTGCTGCCAAAATGTTTGTCAGTGTTGGTGAATTATTAAAAATAACAAAACACCACTTCACTTTGGGTTAAAATTAGTTGTAACACACGTTATTGAGACAAGTAATTATAATAATATTACAGATTTTTTTTGGGTAATGCGTTCCAGCAAAAAGAAATACAATACTGTAATTGCATTACTTTTGTAACGCGTTACTCCCAACACTGTTATCTAAATTCCACCATATAGTGCCCTCAAAAAATTCACAATGGAGGTACTTGAAAGTAGAATCCATGGCATGCACTTATTTGTAGAAACTCTCTGAAAAATAGTATTTTTTTTCAAGGAACAACATCACTGTACTTTGTAAGGCTGCAACATCACTCACACCTCTGCCATGTATTATGCATACAGTAGAAAATCAAATCGCAATTGAGCAATGAGGAAATTTTATCCCACAATCACCAAATTATCAACCGTAAATTGACCACTTTAATCTAAGATTTTTTTTCTCGGATTATTAACTCCCACACTGGCTCTGTAAATGAATCAAGCTAAATATGTGAAAACATTTAAGATAATTCAATCAGCCCATACAGATGGGCTAAATCTCAGAAACTTGCCTGTTATTTTTGCGGGCCTGACTAATAGTGAAAATCTCATAAAATAACCTACTGGAGAAGTGCTTCTACCTGGCAAGTTCAGTTTCCAGGTTTCCTTTATGGATGCATTAAAAATCACAAAAGATTCACAGTAACTTTGGTTTAATGTAATGTAAGGACTGCTGCATTAAACAATAAATGCCATTCTTTGTTTCGGCGGGCCAGCATGTCTGATTTTTGTTTTGTGTCTTGTCTTGTATGTTGAATAGGCTATTGTGTTTTTGTTTTTAGCACATTGGACCGTGAGAAACGTTTCGTTCATTAGCCTACTTGGTGTGTGGATGAATGGCAATAAACGATCTTGAACTACAATGTCAGTTCATTGGTTTCTATTTTGCATTAGTCCAGAGTCATTTATTAATAATGAGTAGACTTTCTTGACTGGATACCACAGAGGTTTCTGCTGGAATGCTGGAAAGCTGAGTTTCATTTGGTGCATGCGCATATGAACACGTTTATAAAAAACGGTATAGCTGTATTTCACACTCAGCGCTGGCTGCCAAGCAAGACAGACTATGAGGTGGGTCTTGTGAGAAGTGCTTTCTGTGTGCAAGAAAAAGGCACGGTAGTAGGCTATCGGTCGGTACCGTTTGCCAGCCCACTTCAATAACTCCTTTCAGTTTATGTGACACACAGGAATGTGTGGTCACACTGTGTAATTTCCAACGCTAGTAGCGCTTCCGGTCGCTGACTAGCTAGCTAGCGATGTTTGTGTTCAAGGTGTTGACAGCCCCGAGGCAACTTTAACCTTAACCGTCACAGAAGTTAGTGCCTAAACCTAAGTCAGTAAATATATGAATGTCGACCGGCTAACCCGACAGCTGTCCATGAGGCCGATGTGCACAGCTGTAGGGTTAGCCTCCTTTGTGTTGCAACGCTATAGCAAACTGCAACATATCATACACACGCAAAATCGTTTTGTGTACAATAGCCATGGCTTTATCAAAGCGTGTATATATGACACCTGAGATGAGAACGGGTTGGTTTTTCTTGTCTTTTTTTAGTTAGTCATGTATTATATATATATATATATTTTAAATGTGTTATACATGTTTTAAAATGTGGATTGCTTTATCTGGTTTTGTCTTGACCCTTCTTTGACTACCGTGCAAGCCTTTTTGTTTCTTTGATTTTGCTCATTTAAATCTTTGAATTGTATCTGCTCGGCCTACTGTCCTGTGTTTAGGTCCAAAGACTTATTCCTCTGTGTGTTCTCAGTCATTGTGACAAACAGAGAACTGTACCGGCATGGTACCTAAACAATGGCCCTGAAAACACAAATACACACCATCTTTTAAGTCTTTAGAAAAGTGAAATTTGATTTCAGGCTGATCTTGTTGAAAATAAAAGTACATTTGAAGTGGGATTTTTGGTCTTTTAGGTGGATAAAACCTCCTTTGCTGCTGGCCCTGTCACTTTTTAGTCACTGCTAACTACCTTGGTGTGGGAAAGTTAACAACCAGGAAAACTGAGAGACATGACTCAACTAAGCTACAAGTGATATCACAATTAGCTGCTCAAACAATTTACAATTTAATTTTTCACACACAATAACAAATGTCACACTACACACCTACCACTCAAATGAAGGCATACAAGACCAGAGGGCAGGAACAAGTCATTTCTAAGTGCATTCATGGACTCTTATCCTTTTAGACATTTTGTCCCGTACAATGATATTTATTTCTACCCCATACAACTACCTGGACACATTTAGATGCCACTGGAAACCGATTCATATCCAAATAATGTATTTGTATTCAAACCACATCCCTGGTATGTATGCACAATCCATATTTGCATCACGGGTATATCATTTTCATGTGAGGAGGATTTTCAGTGCACTGCCATTTCTTTGTGTTTGTAAGGAAATCGACTGCTAATGGATGATTTTTGATTGCAAACAAGGACACAGCCTTTAGGACACAGACAAAAAAATATATGAAGCAGTGCCCAGTGCAGCGGGTTGGCTTTTGTTCATACTGACTGGTTGGTGAGATGCATCAGTGCTTGATGGAAGCTATTTATGGAACTTTGTCAGCCAAACAATGACTCCTCCTTAATTGACTCGCTCTCTCATTCTCACTCTCATTCTCTCGGTGCCATGTTGCCAAATGTGTGAGGGACTCTCCATTAGACTCTGTCATGTGTGTGCGTGTGTGTGTGTGTGTGTGTGTAGGTATAAATAGGTCCTCTTACCAAGCTGAATTGATTAATTGCATGTTGAGGCCCAAAGAGTGGCGTTTGGAGAGGCCACTGCTGAAAGAGAAAAGTGCCATTAGGATTTCACTTTCATGTTCATCAACACACACACACACACACACACACACACACACACACACTACTGCTTGCATGAAGACTCCTTCCACAACAGATTCAGATTCAGTACTAAAAAAGAATCCCAGATACACATTCACTCACACACACACACACACACACACACACACACACACACACACACACACACACACACAGTGTAATCGAGCTGCCTGACAACAGCAGTGCTGAGAGATTTGGAGAGAGGGAATAAAAGAGGCCACCTGCCTCAATTAGTTTGAGGACGGAGGGGTAGATGGAGGGAGGCAATGAGTGTGTGAGGAGGAGATGAAGAGAGGGAGAGAGAGTGGGTGGAGAGAGGCTGGAGGGAGACAGAGATTGAGTGAGAGAGCTCCAGCGGAACAGAGAGAGAGAGAGGGGGGAGTGAGATGTTTGTGGGTGGGAGAGAGAGCGCACAGGGAGCGGCTGATTGGGGCTTTTGGGGGCCGGTACTGATGCCTCAAAGATCTGGAGCGAAGGAGCTGCTTTTCAGTGATCTGTTACTCAGACGGGAGAGGCTATTTTGTTTCCTCTCTGTTATTCAGCCCGACAGAGAGAGCCAAAGTGAAAGCAGAAAACCTCATCCAAAATCACATTGACATTTGTAATAACTAACCTGTAACTTGCCCTTGTTTAGCAATATAATTCAGTTTTATTTATAAAGCACCAATTCATAACAGAAATCTAACTGCACTAGAGGGAGACACAGCAGTCAGTTTTAGCCCTCTTTAACTAAGCGGATGTACTCAGTCGACCAATAAAAACACCACCACAGTGTTTGGAAATATAGAAGTTATTGTTAATAGTTGTGTGCAGCTGTTGTTGAGGAGGTCAAGCAGGTTGTCCACTAATCAGAAGGTCGTGGTTTGATCCCCTGCACCCCAATTTAATTCCTTAGCCAATCAGACAGCATAATTTTCAAGACTAAAGCTACATTAGCCAGGAAACAGTTACTTTAGATCAAAAACCTTGTCACCTAACACCTGCATTCCCCATTGAGCCGGCATTGTTGACTATTTTTTGTGCTGTCTTTCTAGTTATTTTAGATCTTTGCTTCAGAGGAGTTTTATAACACGCAGTGAGGTGCAGAACTGTGTGTGTTTCATTATCTCTCCCTCATGAGATTGGGCCTTTTTTACAAAATGACCTTATTATAGCTTATTTTCCTCTTATGACACATGATAATTAGTGGATAAAAAACAGAAACAATTATTGATACCACTCTGGTGAGGTAGGGGTATAAAGACAGCGGTATGTGAAATTTTGATGGACTATAGACTGATTAGACTGTTATTTGACCATAAGCTGAAAAAGATGATGCTGGTTCTGATAGAAAGGTGTCAGAACCCACAGTGCATCGCAGTTTGTTGCGTATGGGGTTGTGTAGCCGCAGACCAGTCAGGGTGCCCATGCTGACCCCTGTCCACTGCTGAAAGCACCTACAATAGACATGTTGGCATCAGAACTGGATCACGGAGCAACGGAAGAAGGTGGCCAGGTTCGATGAACGCCGTTTTCTTTCATTACATGGATGGCCAGGTGCGCGTGCGTTGCTTACCTGGGGAACACATGGCAAGATGAATTATGGAAAGAAGACAAGCCAGGTAATGTTCTGCTGGGAAACCTTGGGTCCATGTGGATACTGGTTACTTTAACACGTACCACCAGCATTGTTGCAGACCATGCACACCCTTTCATGTATTCCCTGTTGGCAATGGCCTTTCAGCAGGATAATGGTCCCTGCCACGAAGCAAAAATGGTTCAGAATGGTTTGATGAGCACAACAAGTTCAAGGTGTTCACTTGGCCTCCAAATTCCCCAGACCGTAATCTAATCAAGCATCTGTGGGATGTGCTGACAAACAAGTCCGATCCATGGAGGCCCCACCTCAACATATAGGACTGAAGCCTAGGTCACACTACATGATTTTAAGCCTGATTTGCCGGTCGGCGAGCTCGGCCTGTGTTCAGGGGTAAATCAGTGATCGATCGGCGGTCGCCAGTCGTTATGTGTCAACTACTCAACGACGCTTCGAAACGGCTCCCCGACTCATTTCTGACACATCGCAGACGTCTGCCAGATATCTAGCATGTCAAATATCTGGAGGAGTCGGCCAACTCGACATCCACATCCAGCCAATGAGAGCAGGCAGCTACTTTTTCACTGCAAAACCATTTTTACTCCCCTCCAGACAATCCCTGCTACCTGCGTGTGCTAATCCAATTTTTGTCTTTATAATTGCTATCTTTATAATAACAAATAACAGCTGGATGGCCCCATAGCTGAATTTTGCTTAAGGGCCTCAGGGAGGTCAGGACCGGCTCTGGTGGTAACATAGGTATGTGTCAAAGCCCTTTCTGACATGGCAGTGCCAATAATAATAGGCTAAGCAAGGGAAGCTGGTAAAACACATACTAGCACATTTCATACGCTTTAAAAAAAACGATATGGGGGATGGGGGGGACTGTACCCAGGGTTTTTCCTGGCTCAGAATGGGCCTTTGGGGGGACAGTAAGCATGATGGGTAAGCTTTCAGTAAAGGCAATAACTTACCTAATGACCGAAATCTATGCATTTTCTTGTTATTTCTGATCATTTGATAATATAACATTTATAACATTAAAAAGAAAGTATAATGTTAGTATAATATATTTAGCATTTATATATTTATATATATTAGTACACTTTATTTGGATGATCTGCCTACAGTAGAGATTTAGCTGTTTCACAAATAAAACCATTTTCTGATATTAGCCTACACCACTGTGGATGAGAGGAAAGGTGACTGCTGGAAGTCAAAGACATCGTATTTAAGTTCATGTTCTGCTAGCTCAACAGTTCTTTGATAAATGGCTATTTAAACACATTCGGAGAGGATTTCAAAGGTTGTTTTTTTTTTTTCAATTCGGATTATTTTGGCGCTGAGGATTTTCCTTTGGCGCTCGCTAAAACCTCTTAGGGGGGCGTCAAAAATTTCTCTATGCAGGAAAAACCCTGTGTACCTCAGTGGAGCTTTATGTCTAGCAACACCCCTGATCTGCTGCTAATGTCTTGGTGCCAGCACACCTTCAGAGGTCTAATGGTGTCATGACCCGACAGCTCAGGGTTGTTTTGCTGGCAAAAGGGGGACCTAGACAGTATTAGAAATACACACGCATGCACAAACACGACCCATAGCAACACACAGAGAGATGTCAGAGTGAGGGGGCTGCCCCGAGCAGTTGGGGGTTCAGGAGCTTGCTCAAGGCCTCCTTTGGCAGTGCCCAGGAAGTGAACTGGCACCTCTCCAGCTACCAGTCCTCGCTCCGCAACTCTGGTCCGAGCAGGATTTGAACCGGCGACCCTCAATCCTTACGGACTGAGCTACTGCCGCCCCAAAGTGAAGAGAGAAAATGACACAATTTTGGTTTTGCTACAGGTATTTTAGCTCTGTCTCCCTTAGATGGTTTGCCAGCTTGATTCTGCTGCAGACTACCTACTGGGCAAGCTTTCTCTCTTTTCACACACACAGAGACACACACACACACCAAAGCACTTAAGTAACAGCACTGCATTACACAGAGAGGCAGCGAGGGAGTTAAAGTAAGATGAGAGATGGAAGGTCAGATCAAATGTCGGGGGGGTTGCTTTTCTTTATGTGTATGTGTGTTCTTGAGCTTCTACCCTTACCAAAACCAGTTTTAGCTGGAGACTTTAACAAAGAAGCCATTTGCTTTCATTCATTATTGTACTGTAAGAAAAAAACAGCTTCCACAGGGAGAGAATACGCTGCAGTAAACAAGGAGATGGCATTTTTGTCATCATTTGTGTGTATAATTCTGTCTTCATTGTGTCAGAGTTGAGGTTTCCATGTCAGTGCACACATTCAGGGACTTCTCATCAGACCACACAACTTTTCAGGCTCTTGTGTGAAGCTAGAGGGAGTGAAATTTACAATGTAACTATTTTAGGCAATAAACTTTCATTGGCATGAATGTTGATTTTGCGACAACTGACCACCTAATGTGGAACGGTAGCCATCTGAAAAGGCCTGTGTGCTTTCATGTGGACATGTGAAACTTTATGAGCCCAAGTACTGTCCGTATTTAAATAAATATAGTTCAAATGCCCAGAAGTGTTCTTTCCCTAAGCGTACAATTCATCTCTACTAACAACATTGGTAGTGCTGTGGTTCTGTAGCATTTTATTGAATCCAAATCCAGAAATTTAGGCAATAGTGGAGGAGGGCCAAGCACAAATCTCTTTACTTAATCATTTTTTTATTATTTACTTATTATTTTCTAAGGGGAGAAATATTTACAGTTTGCTCCAATGTACAGTACATGTTGTCCGTCCGCACAAATACTGTAAGAAAAAAGTGTGTGTCTATGTGTGCATGTTTTGCTTGGCGTCTGTTTCAGGTGTCGGTCCTGTTAATGGGCCAGAGGGTTTAAGGGTTAGGAGAGAGATGAGACGCCCAGCTCAGGCAATGAAGACTGGGAAAGAGTGGAACATAGGCCTCCTGTTCTGCAGCTGGCAGCGGGCTCTGGGGACTGGGGTTGACGTGCTCTCACGCACACACACACACACACCTCTGGTCACAGGCCTAATTCACACAGGGACGTGTGCTTCACTATCTGTAATTGAGATGTATTGCTGTGTGTTCCACAGTTTACAGATACCACAACATACACAACCACTAACCTCATGTAGCCTCCAGCTATCTATAGCAGCTCCCAATCTGTGTCCTAGGGACCTCTAGGGGTCCTTGGGGAAGTGGTTCCATAGTTCTTTAAGGGGGTTCCAAGGACCCTTGAGGGAGATCCAGAGGCTCTACAAATAAATTATACAAATTATGATTTGATTTCACATAAACATAATTCATGAAGAATGATTACAATCAGAGAATAAATTAACAAGACTTGTAGTGTAAGATGTATTATCACCGTTTCCAACGGTCCAGATTTATTTGTCGGTCCGGTTTCAGATCTACATTTCAAGACCGACGGAGGCCATACTTTTCACACTGTATGCTTTCATTTTCCATATCCTGAACATGAGCTCTTTAATGAGTAATTCACCAAGAGGAAAATTGCAGCCTAACGGTGGAATGAATTATTATGCAGACAGTAGAACGATATTAGAAGTAATAAGCGAGGATTATACTTCATACTTGGTGAATTGGCATGGGCAAGGGCCCTTCAAATGAATCTGGAATGAGGGGAATTAATCATCGGGAAGTGTCTGAGTTAAATATCAATTATCAGAAATGACATGTTTCAATTCATTATCGGAACCAATTTCGGTGCTTTTCAGCAGAGGTTTCTCCACCGTTATCACTGTCAAACTTACCATCATTGGTATTGTCATGTATGTTACCACCACCATCAGCAGCAGCAGCACCATCTTTGTAAGCATATGCAACTGGTCAGTCATGGCTACTCAGTGCATTTACACCATGTTCATCATCATCACCTTCGATCCCCGGAGCTTTCATCCTATTAATAGCCAAATTCTTGACATGTTCTGGTGTTCTTGTGATTCTGACTTCATCACAATGATAATTCATTCAAAAGTCACAATGATTATTACAATCACCAGAATTATCATTATAGTCCTCCTATAATTATTGTATTTGGCAGATGGTGACTCATCTACAGTACTGATTCATTATACTCTGAACTGTATTTAAAGTGAACATGGGATCCCAGTCGCTTTTTATACAGCAGCTATTCAATCAGAAGAGACTTCATTATGAGTGGACAAGTATTTTTATTGACATGCATAATGAAGCTGAGAAAAGTGAAGAGTCTTCGGTGACTCCGTAGTGGCCATATTATTGTAAAGAGGGTGGTGAAGCCATGAGTAGAATAGGATATCCACATTGTTGGGGTCTGGACAGTGGTGGTGGTGGAAGGATGCTGAAGATCTGCATGTGGAGAGGACGTCTGATGAGTTCAACCTGCACTGGACATGATGAAGTGAAGGTGAGGAGGGTGGAGGAGGACTGAAACAACAGCTGACAGCAGCAGCGAGGATGTAACATATGTAAAGATTGACAGCAGCCATGTGATTGGCTGATTGAGATTGTGGCAAAATCTTGTTGGTAAATTGAAAGAGTAACCCATAATCTGCTGATTAAGGGAAGCAGGATGAGGGAGAGAGAGGGGGAGATGCGGAGAGGCTTGCACCTCTTTAAGTCGGGGTAAATCAGGCTTCACAGCAGGTTTTACATACTGTCCCTAATTTGTCTGTATAGCATCAAAAAAATCATAAATAATGTAAAGATTCAGAAGAAATTCAGCAAGTGAAATTACAAAACTGCATTGAAATCATTTAAATTGATGAATAAATCATTAGGTAACAACTAAAAATGAATTAATACAAATTGGGGAATAGATTTGGGCAAGGTCTATAAAACTGAAGATCGAAATAATGCACACAAGACAGCTGTCAATTTGTTAGAGCACTTCCACTGAAATGTTTATTGCACATAATGTGTAATATCAGTTAAAGCTAAACAAATCTATTTAAAATATATTATAGGCTTCAGCCTAATGCACAGCCAGATTCCATCACTTTATCATCCATTAAGGAAATGTAAGGCTGGTAAATTATGAATTAACGGACATCACTGAATGAAACTTTTTCCAGGCTCTTTCTTTTAAAAGATAAATGTGCATGGTCCGCATATCCATGCATTAATATCTCTACTTCCACTGGATTAAAATGGAGGCTCTGCCTTTTATTTGCCTGTTGCCATAGTGAATCATAGTATCAAAGCTCCACTGATGATGGCTTTTTCTATTCACCACGCACAATCTTAACTCAGAGTGCACATACTCAGAGTTGATCATACTGATCAGCTGATCAGCTGTTCTGGAACTTAGTTTTCCATGACAGAGTCAGTCAACTCAGACTTTACAATTTGAGGTCACCTCAGGGTTTATCCCGGGTTTTCAGTAGGCTACCACAACAGTGGTTTACTTCTTACCGGGGTCAGTGGTGGAAAGTAACAAAGGACAAATACTTCATTACTGTACTTAAGTAGATTTTTTCCGTATTTGTACTTTACTTGAGTATTTTTAGTTATTGCAACTTTTTACTAGCAACTTTCTTATTAGCTTTGGGGAGCAGTATTGAAAAGAAATGTAAAACTGGTAAACCGGCATACGGCACTGGCATACGCAGTGATAGTAATCAAGTCACTCTTGTGCAGATCAGAAGGCCCCGCCTCACTTTCACTGCAGTGATCTGTCCTGCTAAACCGAGCTGAGCAACACATCTCTTGTCTCTGACAAGACAAGAGACACAAGACACAATGATTTCGATGCTGCGTCATGGTTGCTTGCCAGACTGTGACTGAACAATGTTAGTGTGTTAGAGTGAAATACAATACAAGTAAACTCGCGCATTCCAACAAGAGACATCTATGGGACCAGCCCAGACAGGATGCGATGACGCTCCTGATAGGCACAAATCAATTGAAAACAAGACAGTGATTATCTGTCAGTGAAGTTTAGTTACAACTCTGGACTAATGCAAGATAGAAAGCAGTGAATTCACATTGAGTATTGACTATTAAAATGATGATTAGTGGGGCAGACTGGGCAATATGGATGCGCATCTAAGTAAATAACAAGCATCACATTAGCCAAGTCACAGTATAAATATTGTTTTATATATGGAAAATATGTTCGAGGAGCCAATTTGAATGGGCCTGATGCAGCTGATAACATTGATATCTAGACAATATCTATAATTTATGGGGGCTATGCTTTAGTTTGTCAGTAGAGTAGATGCTGGATCGTCAGCCAGTACAAGAACAGCTGATCCACATCCAGCCTCAGCCAGTTCTAGCACAGACCCAGTCCAGATGTCTTTAGCAGGTCACACAGACCCAGCTGAAACACAGGCAGCCTCAGCCAGTACTAGCACTCCAGAGATGTACAGCCAGCATCAGATACAAGCAGCTCAGACCCAAATGGAACAGTTGCTGCTCCACCAAATGACCCAGTAGGTTAGCCCAGTCTGAACAGACTTCATGAGGATTGAGTTGGTGCACAGGTCTGTTCAAACCAGCACTGGATTTTTCTACAAGAGGTTTCCATTCAGGCTCATTACAGAGACATAGTGTATTAAAGGAGGGAGGATTGAAATGAGTCAGGTGTGACTGTGCAGCAGACCGGCTCTGTTTCGTGCTGTGAGTTGTAGACTTGGATGCAGGGAACATAGCTGGAGTTTTGCGATATAAACATATAAAACCTGTCTTAAGTGAATTTAAAAAAATAGATTGCTTTTTGTATGATCAATAGATTTAAATGTGTAGTACTTTTTACTTTTGATACTTGAAAACTTTGAATAATAGCCCGGGCTTTTATGTGGTGCTAGCTATCAGAGTTTCAGGAGCGGGACCACATATCAACAGCAACAGCTTGCCGAGCACGCTACGCTAATGCTACTGCTATGCCATACGATGATTCATCATAAGCTACTCCATCCATCCACTTACCTCTTCGAGAAGTGTCAGTAAATTGCCATCAGACGATGAATTATTCCGACAAACTCACGACAGTCGTTTTCAATGTCCATGTCAGCAGACCCTGCACCAGAAGACAAACTCTTCTCTTCCATCTCCATGCTGAGACCCTGTTTTCCACAATTGTAAAGCTGGCCAGGAAGTGGGTATGTCCAGCTTTTCTCCATCTCTTCCACGGTCCCCTTCATCTCAACAATCGGGAACATTTCACCCGAGAATAGTCCGCCTCACAAGAACAGCTGATCACAGCGTTACCCCACTCCAGCGAGGTCCCGCATTGAACAGTCTTTATAAATGATTTCGAAACGGACTATAGTCACTCTTTAGAAAACTGTTGAAGATGAAAGAATCCCGTTTACAGAACAGACAATACAACAAACCTTTCAATGCTATCATGTCAGCATGGTATGCCCACAGTTCCATCAATGCCAGCTTCCTTCCAGGTGACGCATTATGCATGCTGTGACGTCAGCGCCACTGTTTAAAGGACAGTTCACATATTTCCTCCAGCTCAAGATAGTAAACGTCTGTACCAAAGGAAGCACCAACAACTGAATTCCGGTGCATCCACCTTGCATCAGTGCTTAAATTATACAGCAGCCAGTCCCATTATGGGCTCCCGGCACCGAGATCCCATCACCCCCAGTCATACACCTCTAGGAACAAAAGCAGTGATTTCAGCAAACGGCTCCAGCCGGGGCAACGGGCACCGGGATGCCAATAGTCGTTTCAAGTTAACATCGAGCTAACATCGAGCTCTCAGTCGTTCTGAGTCGTTTTGAGCTAACATCAAACTCAGTTGTTCAAACTAACATCTGGTCCACAATCATAAGAGGTCACAGTCGTTGTGAGCTAACGTCCGGCTCTCAGTCGTCTCGAGTTCACAGTAACTTCAAGCTCTGTCGGTTTGTGCTATCGTCCGGTTCTGTCGTTTCGAGCTCACAGTCTTCTCTAACTAACATGCGGCTAACAGTCATCTCAAGCTATATCCGGCTAACAGTCGTCTCGAGCGAACTTTCGTCTCGAGCTAATATCCGGCTAACGGTTGTCTCAAGTTCGCAGTCGCTCGAACTAACATTCAGCTAACAGTCATTTCTAGCTCAGTCATTATGAGCCAACACCATTTTCTAGCTAAGGTGTTCCGAGTTGTCTTTACCTAAATTGGTATAATCATTTCAAGCAAACATTAGTTTTGTGTTAAGTCGTCTTCAAGGTAAGTTGTTTCGAGAAAGTCAAGCTAACAGTCGCCTCGAGCAAACGTGGAGCTAACAGTCGCCTCGAACGAACGTCGAGCTAACAGTCCTTCAACCAAACTGTTGTTAAACCAAAATAGTTTCATCGTTTCAGTCGTTTCGAGCACACAGTAGTTTCGAGCTAACATCCGGCTCATCGTTTTGAGAGAGCATCGAGCTAACATTCGTTTAGAGCAAACAGTCGTTTTAAACCAGGTCACCTTTAGTTAAAGTTACCACAAGCTCAGCCGCTTCGATCCTACGTCAAGTCAGTCGTTTTGTGTTAAAGTCGTTTCATGTTACAGCCTTTTGCATTAAAGTTGCTTCAAGCTATCAGCTGCTTGAGCACCCAGTCACTTCGACCTATCAGTCGCTTCAAGCTCACATCGAGCATACAATTGTTTCCAGCAAATACTGAGCTAACAGTCGTTCCAACGAACAAGTCATTGTAAACCAAAGTTGCTTTGAGCTAAGTCGCTTCGAACTCGCTCACTTCAAGTTCACATCGAAGTCAATCTAACCAAAGTCACTCACGTCGCGTTAAGTCGTTTCGTGCTAAAGTTGTTTCGCACTAAAGCCGATTCATGCTAAAGTCGCTTCACGCTAAAGTCTCTTCGAACGTCACTTCATAGTGGTATAGTGGTTTCGAGCGAACATCAAACTAACAGCTTTTCAAGCTATCACCGAGCCAACAGTCATTTCATTCAGTGTTCATTCAGCGTTCAAGCTAAGTCGTTTCGCGCTAAAGCCGTTTCGAGCTTAAAACTGTCTAAAACGAGCAGCCTCTTCAACTAAGTTGTTCAAGCAAACAGAACTTCGTCAGTCGTTTCAAGCTAAAATCATTTTGAGTCAACAGTTGTTCGAACTAAAAGGGGCTTTCGGCACCGGGATGCGGTAGCCCACCGCGGCTCGCTCCCAGTCCAGGGTTTGGGTGTTCTATAAGAATAGAGGGGTTCGCAGTGGAATGGTCACCAAAACCTTAACATGAACAGCATAGCTCTCTCTCGTACTAGAGGTCATCTTGAAGAGCTCCCGCCACATCACAACTAGTACTATGTAATCACATCGTCTCGACCTTCGGCGTCATACTCAATTCAGACTCATTCCCCAAACAACATTGCGTTGTACTAGAGAAACCATGTAATTGGGTCTGCTTACACCTGTCTTTTCTCCAGAGTCCAATGACCCTGA